ACTGCTATTTTCAACAAATTATGCTTGTGCCAGAAAACCTCATGATCACAAACATGGAGACAGGGCTTAAGAAAGTTATTGTTCAAAAATTGTCAGTTTATATCATTTTGGAGAATTGTCCTACATGTAGACGCATTGTACACTGGTGAAGTGAAATGCCACAAAGGGAGCAACTAATGCAAATGTAGACTGGTGCTACAAGCACAGCTTCAAATCCTCCTTTGAATTTTGAAATTAGATAACTCACAGAAAACCTCAAATAAAAAGAAAAGAAAATTGTTATGACTTGAGCACAAAGGAGAGGTCAACCCAAAAGACTAACCCATTAGGTAAAAGAGACGCATAGCTTAAATACCACCATTAAGCTATTTATTCTACTCAATGTAGGAATCATAACATTGGCACCTCTTTTAAGAACCAAAGCCTGTCACAGTTTCACACTATCGACACTGACCCTATTAAATGGTAGCTTTGTTCCCTTACATTAAAAGCTTTAATCACCTACTAGTATTTGATACATTGCACCTTAATCTAACATATAAGTAGCCCTTTCCATAACCCAACTCTACAAAAGGAGAGCCCAACCACAAAATATTAGCCCATAAAGGCTTCACACGATCAACACAGACCATGCTTTGTGGTTGCTCCTCTTCTTTACATTGAGGGCTTCTAACACTCACCTATTAGTATCTAGTACATTGCACCTTAATCTAACTAATAGGTAGCCTTTTTCATAAATCAACTCTCAACAAAATCACTAATTATTATGACTTAAGCACGAATAGAGAGTTCAATCCAAAAGACCAATCCATTAAGCGAGAGAGTCCAATAACTAAGTAACATTAAGCTTCTTATTCTACCTATCGTATGACGCATAACATAAATTGCTTGAAAGCATCCTATTAACAATTAAGGTGTCACTCAACTCAACAAAGTATAGGCCTTCTTTCTTGCGACAAAAAAAAAAAAATACTTAAAAAAAACATCAATTGAGAAAAAACAAATTAAGGAGTTGTTAGGACATATAGTGTACCTAGCACGCTTGTTCTCTTGGTCACTCTTCATTGGCAGAAGTCCTCCATCAAACACTAGAACAGGCTTAACCCCAAAATGGCGCAGCAAGTTTACTCTGTGCATGCAATACTCAATGTGCCTAAAACACACCAATAAACAAACCGAACTCAGTTAAAAAGCTGAACAGAACACATTGTTTGTACGTAGTTAAGCCCTTTTAGGGGGGTCTTAAATTCAACTCGACCCCATGTCAAAAAATCGAACCTTTACGAGCTGGGTTTCTCCAAACAATAAATCTAAGAAGAACGCAAAAACTAAAAATAAAAATAAAATAAGGGTACAAGGGGTGACCTAGTAGTGGGTATCCCTTTGCAGAGTTCGGTGCTGCAAGAGAGGGCACCTTTGTGGAGCCAAGAGTAGGTGTCTACAGCTACGGAAGAACCCTTCAAGTCCTTGATGTGGATTGGAACCATAATCGATTTCAAAAGCGGTAGAAATCCCTGAATTCCCATTCCTCTTTGGAGAATCTACAAGTCTACCATACAACATTTCACAATTCACATATACAACAAAATTGGGCGGGAAAGCTTATATTCGGCCTGTATAATGCCGGACCTTAATATACTTATTTACTATTTATTGCCTTTTTTACCGATCAAGTGTAATTTAAAAACAAACAAACAAAATTGAGTAATTTAAAAAAAAAAAAAAAGGGAAATTTTGAATGAGTAAATATTTTTTGGTAAATTAATGAGTAATTTTTTTACTCATTCCGGAAATTTTAAAAAAAGTTATTGTATCATGTGGGTTGCTTATCAATGAAAAAAAATGTTATTAAGTTTTTTTATTATATTATTTTTAATTATTTTACATAGAAAAATCCTTTTTATATATAAATCAGAATAATTATTTAATTCATTTATTAAAAAATAAGATAACTATCTCGAACAGAAATTTTAGGAACGATTTAAAAAGTGATTTTTAGAATAAATTATTCCCTTCTCATATATTCTAAATGTTTTTAGTTTTAAATTAAAATTTAATTTTTTGAAAATTAACAATAATAAAAAAATAAGTTTATATTATGATATAAACTATTTCTTATAAATCTAGATATAATTTTAATATTAAAAACATTTATTTATTATAGGTTATTAACTTTTGAATATTAAACACAAATTTTTATCATACGTGAGAATATTTTTGAAAGATTTTCTTTAATGATAGTGTTTTTAGAAAAAAAATTTAACTTATCTAATTCAACTTTTATTTATCATGATCATTTATAAATTAAATTTTAATATTTTTAAAATAAATTATCAATAAATAAAAATAATATTGTATTATAATATAAATTATTTATCATAATTTTAAAATATAATTTATATCTTTAAAAATATATATTTATATAAATTTTAAACATAATTTATATATTCAAATATATTATTTATTTATATATATAATTTATTATAAAATTTATTAATATATAATAAATATTTAACCTATTGTAAAAACTAAAATACTAGTTATTATATAAAATAAACATTTATTTTAACCATTACTCGTGTTAAAATAATATTTTAAATAAAAGAAAGAAAAATATTTTTAAAAAAATTAAAAGTTAAGAAAATCACCTTGATCTACGATGATGAGCTTGAGAAAATGATTAGGAAAAAAATGAACCCTCTTAAAATGATTTCTATGAGCCACAAAATAATCATCCCACCATGAGTTCGTCTTATTTGGGAGTGGCTAATCAGATGTTTTTTTTATTAAAATACACTTCTAAATTACTTTTTATTAAAAATAAATAAAAAATAATGGTAACACCTAAGTCTACTACATTTATTTATAAGAGTTAAATTTTCATGAACATTTGAGATTTGTGCATTTGTACGGGGGTTTCTTATATTTATATGCATTGGTTGACTTTTTTTCATACTAACAACTTGTTTTTTTGTCTTTATGAGATGTCACTAAAGCTTAAAAAAAATTATAAAAAAATTTCAACAAATCAACTAAAAGATAAAGATAAAAATATATGGCGGTTATTAAATAGGAGACGTTGTTCCAATGTTTGAAAATTAACTTTTGTATCAAACATTTTAACAATTAAGACGTTTTTTCTTGATTTAAACAATTTCTATCATTCTTCGTTCGTTTATCTCTCATCCATGGGAGTACTCACGTTTCTCTCATCCAATTAACTTTTGGTTAGAGGGATTGGTGGATACTTCCTCCTTCTCAAAGCGAGCTTTAATAAAAATGTCTTCTTAGGGTTTAGGGTTTAATAAAGCGACCTTTATTAAAAATGTCTTCTTTTGGTTAGAGGGATTGGTGGATACTTCCTCATTCTCAAAGCGAGCTTTAATAAAAATGTCTTCTTAGGGTAACACTAACATGTAACATTAACTCTTAATATCACAAACATATTAAAAATATTTTACGAGACATATTTTCTCTTCTTTTTTATTTTAGTGTTATTTTATCTTTTGGTTGAATTGCATTTACATGAAGCCAATCCACCAATCCACATGTGGATGATGATGTTAAAGACAACTAAAACACCCTTTGTTGATTTATGTTTAAGTTTGGATTATAACTATAATAGATGTGACATTGAAATTTGGGACAAAAATTGTTTTAATTTCACTTTCACTTATTGGTTTAAGTTTTAATTTATCTTTGATTTTTTTAAATGCTTTGCAAAGGCCTTTACAATCCCTAAATATATTTTTATATGCACCCATTTTTTTAGTTAAGTTTTTAACTATAAACGAGTACATGTAATACATCATTTATCTAATGGAGTGACTGTATGTGTTTATCCTTTAATTTGTGTTTTATATTTAAAATGTTTATAAAAATTTAAGATAAAAGGTATCACAAGTAATGTCTTTCTATTAAGTACAATGTTATTCATGGAGAAAAATAGTTTGTGGATGAAATGGTTTAACAATTGTTTAAGTGATATTGAGTATGGATTTATTTAAAAATTATAGATTTTATAGTTTTGATACTTGAAATTTTATGTTTTGAATTAATATTTAATGACCTGATGTTAATTTATATATGGAGGATTGTTTTATTCTTACAAAATTTTTGTTTCCTTTCAAATTTCAAACATGTTTATTTTTCTATTAGGATTAGTCTAATATTTAGGAAAATTAGGTTAGGGTAGAAACAAGAAAACCTAGATCATCATTGTATCGTCCCATGGGAAAAATAAAATAAAATCAACATTCCAGTAATTATACATTAATGAAAATTTCAAATCATAAGAATAAAGTGAGAAAAAGAGGATATTAGGTAGTTTAAAAAACAGTTAATTACACAATAATAAATAATTTATATAATAATTAAAAAATAAAATAACAATAAAAATTGAAGATATATGAATATCTCTCTATCATAGATAATTAGTGATGAAAATCTATTATAAATTATATGTGAGTATATATATTTTTTTAAATTATAATATTAATATAAAATATTTATTGATAAACTGACAACTAATTTTTATAATAATTGTAAATACATGTAAAATAAATATTTTTTTATTGATAAAATTTATTATATACACAAAGTTAGGATTTTGCATATATATATATATATATTATTCTATTTAAAATTAATCCATACATATATTTTATATTTTTTAAAATATTTTTTTAATATATTTTTTAAATAAAATTTATATATTTAAATAAATATTTATTCATATATAAGTTATATACTATATTTTTTATTTCATATATATCTTAAAAAAAATTTCTTAGACTAATATGATTTAGTAAATAAAAATTTGACTACTTTTTTTTTCGTTATGAATAAAACTTAAGTAATATGCAAACGATTTTATCTTCAATTTTTAATTTCTTATATCCAACTTCTTCATTATTAAAATTATAGTATAAAAAGAAAAAAAAAATATAAATATCTGCATTGTCTGATAGTAATTACTTAATAATCAATTCTTATAACAACAGTGAAAAGGCGAAAAAGAAAGAACAAGTAGAGAGAGAGAGAGAGAGAGAGGGTGAGAGGGTGAGAGGATGATCCATCCAATCGATCCCTTGCTATTGCTACGATCCACACGCACCTCTCTTCACTCTCCATTTGTCTCTTCTTAACCCTACATATTATCATTCATTCCGCTAAGGTAAGGGTTTCTCAATCCAAATGCATTTCGTTTATGTACTCTTCCACTCAATTCACTTCACCCTGCACCTTCCTTCATGCTCCACACAGCACACTGCTTCCCCTTCGCCCCAAATGACTCTCTGCAACGCTTAACTCTTTCTGCACCCCAACCCCTTCCGCGTACGAATTCACGCCACCTTACTTTCCTTTTCTGTTTCCCAAATCCGTTTCACTTCTTTTTTAATTGATCCGCTCTGTCCTTTTCGCGTTCAGTGTGACCATGCCTCGTAAAGTGAACTACGGACTCGATTACGACGACGATTACTACGATGACGAAGACTATGACGATTATGAGTATGATATCGATGCAGAACACCATGGTTAGTTAGTTTTAATTGTTTTTTTTTTTTAATGGCCATCGTTTGTGTTGTTGCTTCCATGGGTATCCGTTTTTATGCTTGCTGAAGAGTGAAGTTACTTCTAATTCTTCCATGTTGGATTGTTGCATTATAGTTATTAATTAATTGGTAGTGTGTTTTCCGTCACTTGCTAGACTTAGTTTGTTGTTGTTCCTTTTTCAATTAAATAGGCTCTTAACTCTTATCCTTTGACAAGTATGGTTTATTGTCCAGCTCAATCACTTGTTTGCTCCATAATAACTTTGTTGGGTACCCTAGTAGCTCTTTAATTGAAAATGAGGCTTTACTGTCAATGTAACTCGTTTAATTAGGGGTTCATTGATGTTAGGTAGCTCCCATTAGTAGCCAGGTTATAATAAGAGGGGAGGTGCAGAGAGAGATAATATGTCATTTGTGAGAGAATTACGGCACCTGGCTGGTGCTGTCCATCAAAGAACTGTTGTGTGTGTTATATTCAGCTAATTAGGTAGTTCATTCCCTGCATTTTTGCAATAAAGGCACCAGGTTAAGATTTCCATATGCGACTAGTCATTATTATCAAAATAAAAATTTATTCATGGTTGGAAAGGAGTTAAGTTAGTTGATGGCTTTGTAAACAAAAAATATTTAAGCAGTATAGCGTCATTACTTCTGACAAGCAGGGTTCTCAATTCTCAATCAGTAAATTCATTTTTTGGGTGAAAGAATTAAAGAAATTCCTTAAACTAACCCCACTTAATACCAGATGGTGTCCATTTGGAACCCATTCTGCAGCCCAAATTAGGAATTCTAGGAGTTTGGGATTTGCATCTTCAAGTCTCCAATACAACCAATGTTTCACACCCATGACTGAGATCATTATCTGTTTCTCACTCAAACAGCATTCCGTTCCACCATTTTTACATTGCCCAGCCTCTCTATTTTGCAGTGATTTCTGTTCTGCCCAAATCCATGTTTTGTTTAACTTGTATTTCATTTCCTTTGGTTTGGTGTTATATTTTACACAGCTTTAACCTCTGTTTCACATTGGTATCTGTTTATCTCTGCTCCATGTTTAGTATGCAGTTTCTCTGATGCTATTAAGTATTATTACTGACTGACTATTTGTATTTTGACTTTTATTATTCATAATAAAATTTTAAACTATTAGGTGTGTGTTTTGCTGATGTCTAGAGGTTTGTAACTGTTGCTGCTATCTTCAGTGCAGTGGCCGCACTGCAATTTGCTATGATGCTATAACATTTTTGGAGGTGGCCGTTTTGTGCTGCCACCTGCCATGAATGACTCTGTCCCAAAGGCATTACTTAAAAGTTCTTTGAGATTATAAATTTTGCTTGTTGGTGCCTTTTTTTTTTTTCTCTCATGAAAGATTGCTTGTAACACCTTTTAGTGTGTCTGTTCAAGCTTGAGTTTTGGAAGAAATCAGAATATGAAAAAAATCATTTTTTTTTATTGCTTTGAGTAGCTCTAGAAAACTATAATTAAAGCTACATTGTTAAAATAAAATGTACTTTTTATAATTGTAACTAAACATGTAAATATGTAATAGATTTTGCTTTGTATAAAATTTGTAAGAAATAAATCAATTTTTGTATGCATTTTGAAAACCACTTCTATTAAAAGATTAAACAAATGAACTTATATTGCTTTTATAAAGTATTTGCTGGTAATTGCTTGCTCTTGCATATACTTTTGTCCCGATTCAATAATTTTAATGTTATATGAAAGTTCTATATTGTGAATATTGTAAGAGAGCAGTTTATTAAAACTTGTTATTGGGTAGTTAAGAAATATTTTAGCATAATGATTAGTTTGTTACACTTTTGTTACAATTTTCTGTCTATATGACAGTAATATCTGTAAATAGAATCAATCCCATGTAACATTGTAGTATGGCTAAAAACAGAAGAATGATATGGATTTAGCAAGTATTTGGGGAATGTTGCTCTTTGTTAAGTTATTTTTATTTTTATTTTTTATATTGTACAAACCAACTAATTTTTTTTTTCTGCCGTAACAGGAGGAGCTGATACAAAGCAAGAGACTGTAACACCCGGGCTTTGGCAATGCTCCATTTGCACTTATGACAATGATGAGAGTATGACTTCGTGTGATATTTGTGGTGTTGTACGTCATCCCTTGCTTAACATTGGAACTTCCAACAGTAGCAAAACAGGTACTTCAGTTAATGAACAATAATTTAGTTTATTGGCAAGGTTTTTTTTTTTTTTTTGTGGAACGTGAGTTTATGCCTAATTCAACATCACATAATTGGCTTATGAGATAAGAGTTGTGTTCGACTTATATAAACTACTTTAGTCATTACTAGTCTATAGGAGATCTCTGGCACACTTCTCATGTTGAGGGCTAAATATCTCAAACGTGAAGTTTGCAGGACTGATAATGACTCAATAACGGGTGGTCTGATAAGTCCAACAATAATCGTTAAGATAGACTTTGATATCATTTTAAAATGTGCGCTTTTGCCTTACTCAACTTCATAGAATTGAATTGTGAGGTGAAGGTTGTTCGCCACGATATACACTACTTTAAATACATCTCTAGTTGATGTGAAATCTTCTACATGAGTTTTACTTTGTGTTTTGTACAAGGACATTCTTTTACATGGTCTTAAATCTAAACTACTTCCTCTGCTTCTTTCCATTTGTGGCTTAGGTATCGGGGAGGGAAAAAAGTTTCGTAATTGGTAGTCTTGGTTGATGTGGTACAGAAAATTCTTTTCTCAATCATCAAATCTATTCTGATATGAGAAGATGGGACTTGGAATATCTTGGATTGTAAAGTTTCAAAACTCTTCTAACTTTTTTAATACCAACAATTAGTTATGTGAAATTATAGAATCTGTGGGACATTTTATTTATATCCTCCATTCTTAGATACATTAGTTGTGATAAAAACTTATCTGAAACTCTGGTTTGTTTATTACTTCTAAGGCTAAGCATGGTACTAGATGACAAAAGATAGACTTGTTAAAACAAGATTGTCGTCCTTCTCATAGGTTAGGATTAGATGTGGGGAGGAAGCAAATCAAAAGCAAAGCAAGGGTTCTTGTCTCTCTGTTTGTTAGAAATGGAAAGTGCCTTAACATGGCCATAAGGAGTCTAAGATGTCATGTACACAATTCTGTTATCCCAATACAACTTTACAAGCAAAGATGCTAGCATTCCTCTCCAAGCAAATTCTCCAAAGATTGCATAAACTGAATATTTCCACCATGTTTTAGCTTTATTGCTTTTACCAAAACTTTTATAATGAACTGTTAAAGGCTGCTCCCATAAAGGACACCCTGTGCTGATCAAGAGCCCAAGAATATTGTGCCATAAGGGGTTAGCCTCCTTATGACACCGAAAACAAGTAGTCTGTTGTATGTCGAATAGATCATCACATAACATGTGACCAAAGTAGCTTGTATTTAATTATGGGCTTGGCAAGCACAACTTGTATGCTGACTCAAAAATCCTGTGGTGCATTTCTCAAGGTATATCCATTGGTAGGCATTGTATTCTGCAATTATTGTCCCTTCATGACAACTGCTTACTCTTAATAAATTTATAGTTTGAGTGTAAATAGTTCACTATCATGCTGGTACAACCTTTCTTGATAGTATTGACTATCATGATGTTGTATACCTTGTTCGTAGAGCACCCTTGAGTGGATTTGAGTTCAAGTTTAGATGGATATTGTAGGAAGTAAAATACCAAATTATGTGAAGATGTTCCACATTGATTAGGACTATGGACAAAATACTCCTCAAAAGACTTTAGCACTCATCCTCCCTTGAGCTGGCTTTTGGGAGTGAGTTAGGACTAATCCATTTAGTTGGTATAAGAGCCTATTCAGTATTAATGTTGGGCCACCCGCAAATATTAATCCTGCAAACCTGTCACTCTAGATATCTTGTCCTAGGTGTGTGCTAAAATGTCCTACATTGAATAGAAATATAGCTAAGATACTTGTTATAAGACTTTGCCAGTCCTATTCTTCTGAGCTAGTTTTTGAGAGCGCACCAAAGGTTTCTTGACAAGAGAAAAATAATGACCAACAAATTGAAATAATTGATAAGCAATTGGTCTTGGTTCTAGTAGTAGTTATTGTTTGGTTTTAACAAGTTGGAGGAATTTGTTCGAGAAAACTGATCATTTTGCATCATCTAGATACAATAGATACATTGCAGGTGCTTTTTAGGATTGTATTTTTCATTCAGCTTCCTTGTTAACATATGACATGTTTCAGGAGCTTTTCTTAACAGGTCCTCAGCAGTTGCAAATGCAACTGCATAAGGTCTGCTTTAGATCCCATGGGTACAAAGTTTGCTAATTAAGCTTACAATTTTTTTAAGAAAAATAAAATGATTTACGGATTGAAATCCACTAAAAGGAAATGCCAAAGCAGATAACTATTTAATTTTGCCAATGCCAAATAACCACCTATCATGAATACACAGAAGTATAAGGACAGGATTCCTCAGTGTTTCTGGTTGTTTGCCAATTTATCTTTTTATTTAAGGCTAAATAATAATTTGCTAATAAAAGGCATAGCAGGAGGATAAGGATTCCTCAATGGAGGCAAACCAGAACAAATATAAGGAAAATAATTGTTTTTAACCTTTTTGCATATCTGATAAACAGGAGAAAAGGGAGAGGGAGGAGAGTCAAAGAATATGAGATCATGTATCTGGCTGCATAGTGTTAGGTTTACAAGAATGGCACGATGAACCTATAACCTATTGAACGATGTCTTTGATGCAGTTGAAGACATAAGCAAAAGTCCTGGAGCATCCAAGTTGGCCAGGTCTCTTTTTCAATCATTACCACAACAGATTCCCAAAGAAGTTGTATTATTTCCAAAGCTGGGTGATGGTTTTCTGGCAGATGGAAGTAACTTCTACAAGCTTGAGAATGTCCGAGGAGAATTTCATGAAATTCATAAGGCTTTTAGTACTCAAAGCCATCCACATTTAAACATAGGTCTTCACAAATTTTGATTCAGGATGTGCATGCGACAAGTTATAACAGTTTCTTCTAAATTTGACATTTGAATGTTATGCAATAATAATTAGAGCAAAAGATCTTATTAGTCAAAGTTCAGAGTTTGTTTAATGACAACATGATAGTTCTTGCAAGTTGCAACTTCTTGCACATGAGATCAAATTACTTATTTATTCCTTTTTAAATAATATACTTTTAAAACAAAGCTTTTCTTTGTATACAGATTCATTCAAGTTCGATGTTCCATCCCCAGATGATGTGGTTTATTCTGGTCTACATTCTTCCAAAATGGGTTTGAAAGGTATCTAATTTGCCTCTAGAACTCAACTTGGAGGAAATGTGTTTAATGGTTGAGAGAGCTAGTAACCATTATTTTGAAACTGAAAACCCACACCTAACATTTTTATGCAGTTCATTTCAATATTTTTAAAAAACTTGCAGTCCCCGACCCCCCTAAACTCTCATTTTAAGAAAAAAAATTATTAGAATGGAATGTATATTCCAAGTTTCTCAGACATTTTTTTTTTAAACTTTCTTAGCTCAAGTATATCAAAATCTAGCGCAGAATGATGATTATAAGGGAATAGATTAGGCTTTACTTCTTCTGTACATTTCTTATTAAAGTTGTGTCCTTGAACCACCCCCAAAAATATTTCTTCTACTTCCTGGAGATGGCTTCAAGTCTGATGGCAGAAAGCTTTTGGTTATGGGAGTCAAAGTAATTGGAATCTGGGTGTCAAAATTTGGAATTGGAAATATCTTGAGGCCAAACTGGGATTTCTAATTAAACCTCCCCATCACTGACCGTGATAGAATAAGTTAGCTTAAGGATATTAGTTCCCACTAAGATCTATGTTTAGTAACATACCCTGAATGAAAGGGTACCAACATCTACATCGACAACTCCCCCCCATCATCCAGCAACAGAAGAGAAAAGGTTACAACTCTAGAAACAGTATTACACCCACGTGACCCACCAAGCTAACTAAAAAAAACATCTTACTTGCAGCAAATTTGTTGATATAACCAGCCTATTGTCACATATCAGCCCACTAGTAGTATGCTTGTTTCACCATTTTCACACTTTTCCAAGTAGTTGGACGTGACTACAAGAAATTGGAGGATTCATGTTGAAACTTGAATGTGGAATTTAACGTTGAAAAAACACTATTGAACAGGAGCATCAAGAAACTATCATCTTCCGGTTGAAATTATAAATTTTATGTATAAGGTAGGAAAAGGAGTGAATAGAGACTAAATAATGATACTTGGGGAAGGAATTACATTCTAAATGAAAATACTCTTGATGCCTATCTGATGTTGACTATGTAGGCTTCCAATTTGATTGAATACCTCGGAAGTAATATGGTAACATTGAGAAGCAAGAAGCAAAATGAGGTGGCAAGATCATGAGCAGAATCTGAATTCATGGCCATTGCTCAAGGAATATTTCAAGTTTTCTGGCTGAAGATTATTCTAGTAATTTGAGAATCATATTGGAAGGTCCTATGAAGCTCTATTATGACAAGATGACTATCAATATTACTTGTAATCCTATACAAAATGGCAGGATAAAGCATATTGATATTGGCAGGCATGTTATTAAAGAAAAATTGAAGGAAGGGTTGGTTTGTATGTCCTATGTTGAATTCAGAACATTAATTAGCTGTTGATTTAACATAGGGATTGAATGTCTTGAACAGTTTGAGCTTCCATGATATTATATTCAGGCTGGGAATGGAATATTTTCTCGCAGCCTGTTTGTTGGAAGTAAATAGTTTAATTTTTTAATAAATTTATTTCATTAAATACTTGAGTTGACTAATAAAAGGAGATAAAAAGTTGCCAGATCCAAAATATATGTCTGTTCAAAAATTTTTTTGCCATCTCTTCAAGCAGTATCTTTATCACTGTAGCTTTCACCAAATAATGAAAAATAATTTCTATCATATATATTATCTTCATATTCTAATTCATTTAGCATATATATTAATCTATCTTATTTCTGTAATGCTTTCAGACAAAGTTACAAACTCTAAAAGTTCTCAGCTTTCATCGAGCATCAGAGAGAAGAATGAACTGTCTGTACAATCAAATGTTGAAAGTTTAGAAAACTTATCATCCTTAATGCGAAAGAGCAAACAGGAAAGTTCAGCAGTGAGCAAGCTTTCTAAAAATGTAGCAATTGATCTACAAATAAGTGGTAAAACTTTAAACAGCTTGCCAGAATCTTTGTCAAAAGACAAAGGCAACAATATTAATAAAATAAATTCTTCGAAGAATGGTACAATTGATATTCAATCAAGCAAAGAAAAGTCAGGTAGCTTGTCTGCATCGACAAAAATCAAGGAAAGTGATAAGATTAGTTTGTCTTCAATCAAAGATGGAAAACCTGAAAGTAATTCCAGCAGTTTCAACAATATGGTTCTTGATGTAAGGTCTGGAAATTCAAGTAGTACTAATGCTAAGGGATCACATTCACATGTTTCTTTTAAGCCAGAAAAATGGATGCTCCCTCAACAAGCTGAAGATACATTGACTCAGCTAAATCTTGCAATTGTATGTGAATGGCTTATTCTTTTGTATATTCCAATAAAATATTTGTAGGACTGTAGGAGTCAATGTCTAATCTTTTTTAGTTTGTCTATTGTAGGTTGGCCATGTTGATTCTGGAAAATCAACTCTATCTGGTAGGTTACTACACCTATTGGGACGAATTTCCCAGAAAGAAATGCACAAATATGAAAAGGAGGCCAAGTTACAGGTAATTTCATTGTGGTAATTTCTTTTTTGTACTTTTAAAGGTTGATGTTTCTGAACTCACGCCAATTTCTGCCCCATTTTTTGTTCATCAGGGCAAGGGATCTTTTGCTTATGCTTGGGCACTTGATGAAAGTTCTGAAGAAAGAGAAAGGGGAATAACTATGACAGTGGCTGTTGCTTATTTTGACACCAAGAGATATCATGTTGTTGTGCTTGACTCCCCAGGCCATAAAGATTTTGTACCAAACATGATTTCTGGGGCAACACAAGCTGATGCTGCAATTCTTGTTATAGATGCTTCACTTGGTTCATTTGAAGCTGGTATGGATGGCAACAAAGGTCAAACAAGGGAGCATGCACAACTTATCAGAAGCTTTGGTGTTGACCGGGTTATAGTTGCTATAAATAAGATGGATGCTGTTGAGTACTCCAAAGATCGATTTGATTTTATAAGGCAGCAGCTGGGAGTTTTTCTTCATTCATGTGGTTTCAAAGCCTCTTCTGTATCTTGGATTCCCATGAGTGCCATGGAAAATCAAAATTTGGTGGCATCCCCTTCCGATGCTCGGTTCAAAAACTGGTAAGTCTTTGATTACTCTAGGCGTGACTTTGACTTTTCATGATGAGCTATGGAAGGGGTTGGTGTTCTTTATGTAAATAAATTTATGTTAGAAACCATATTTTGCACTCTGGAATCATAGATAAAATTTGATATCCCATTCATGGTGCCTGAGGCTCAAAAGTACCATTTGAAACAGCACTAGTAGGGGGATTCTTCTAGCTCCCAACTTCTTTGGTACAGATTAATTTTCTCAACTTCTTTTCTCTTAAATAAAAAAAAAACATGTTTTTAGAGGTAAAATGATAGGGTGTGGTGTAACTGGTGTTCTTACGTTTGCAATGTATGGTGATGACTGATGTCCTTTATTAGAAATGGACCCAGCCTAATTCAAACACCAAAGACTAACTGATGGAGGGAGGACTGCTCAAGTCTTATTAGGGGTATGAGTAATGCTAGCAACACACTCTATCACACTCTTTTAAACACACCCTCTCATTGGTTGAAATATATTGGAAAACACAAAATTTGGTAGGTCCCACACTCTATTTAATGACTCTCTCTCTCTCTCTCTCTGGATTTTGTGATTTTTAATAAATTCTAACCAATAAAATTAAATGTATTAAGAAAAGTGTATTGCTAACACTCCTCTTAGGAGTATTCTCAACCCTCCCCCTTCCTAGTGTGCCTTCTATGCCTAGGATTGAGTATTTGTGTAAGGTTTGTAAATACTGCTACACGCCTAGGATTGAGTTAATATTGTAGATACTTTTACATTGGCAACCATGCAATTGGATAGAGTCCATACTATTACACTGGTACTGCTCTAATTAATATAAAATAAAAATAAAAAACACTGATAGCTTGCAGCATTTATACTATAAAATAATTGGTGTTAATATTCATATGCTGGCAATCTAGGTTTGCATATGACGTGATAGCATTTTAGCAAGTCACTTTCATTTTAGTTTTGATTTGTATGCAATTTATACTGCCAAAAAATGATGGTTGTGTTCATTTTGAACAGGTATGGTGGACCTTATCTGTTAGATGCAATTGACTCTCTCAAACCTCCTACAAGAGATTTCTCAAAACCTCTACTAATGCCAATATGCGATGTCATTAAATCAACTATGCTTGGACAGGTGTCTGCTTGTGGTAAACTGGAAGCAGGAGCTCTTCGGAGTGGATCAAAGGTATACCAATTGGGCAATGTTTGGCTGCCGATGAAAAATCAAATGATAGATTTAAAATTGGAATTCTCCAAATTAAAAGTGTTTTTTGCTGATCTGAAACTGGACTTCTGCTAGGCATTAACAATTTCAGTTAAATATTTTATTCCTGTATTGTTATTGTATGTACTTGGTAGAAAGATTAAAATAAAAATGTTGAAAAAGGACTCAGTAAAAATTTAATGTCCAAAAACTTACGAGTTTAATTTATTTACGTTGCCAGTAGGAAATTTTATCATACAAACTTTCAATAAAATTTGACCATTTTACAACATCATCCTATTTATTAATATGATGTGGGGATATGGTAGATTTTTATTGATTGTCTCTGTAAAAATATTTTATGTTGACAGTGTATATATATTAAACTTGCAACTCATTAAGCATCATTATTATTTTTTACGAAACAAATGTTAACTTGATGAACTTATTTTATATAATTTTTTATAAACGGTGCCATTCCCCCCTGGCATATTTATTCGATTAGACAAATGCTAAGGCAGCAAGGGATATGGTAGATTTTTATTGATTGTCTCTGTAAAAATATTTTATGTTGACAGTGTATATATATTAAACTTGCAACTCATTAAGCATCATTATTATTTTTTACGAAACAAATGTTAACTTGATGAACTTATTTTATATAATTTTTTATAAACGGTGCCATTCCCCCCTGGCATATTTATTCGATTAGACAAATGCTAAGGCAGCAAGGGATATGGTAGATTTTTATTGATTGTCTCTGTAAAAATATTTTATGTTGACAGTGTATATATATTAAACTTGCAACTCATTAAGCATCATTATTATTTTTTACGAAACAAATGTTAACTTGATGAACTTATTTTATATAATTTTTTATAAACGGTGCCATTTCCCCCTGGCATATTTATTCGATTAGACAAATGCTAAGGCAGCAAGGGATGTTACATAGATTCTTTTATTCAGGAAAATTGTCTAGCATGAAAATTGAGATAATAATGTCTCAAAGGGCACAAATTTTGATTTGCGAGCTTTTCTTACATGACATGAAATGGAACTACTTGTATATAACTATTATTTTTATAAAATTGTAGGTCTTAGTTATGCCTTCAGCTGTTGTGGGAACAGTACGCTCATTGGAGCGTGATTCTAATGCCTGCACTGTTGCAAGAGCTGGAGATAATGTAGCTGTAACGTTGCAAGGTGTTGATGGGAGTCATGTGATGGCGGGAGGTGTACTCTGCCATCCTGACTTTCCTGTTGCAATTGCTAAGCATTTGGAGTTGAAAGTGCTAGTTTTGGATGGTGCAAGTCCCATATTGATGGGTGCTCAGGTGTGTACTATGAAGAATGACATTCCTTCCATTTTATTTTCCAATTTTTTATTTCCCCGCATTTTGAGAAAAATTATATTTTCTTTTTCCATCTCTGCAGTTAGAGTTTCATATACACCATGCAAAGGAACCCGCTAGAGTTTCAAGAATATTGTCATTACTTGATCCCAAGACTGGTAAGATAACCAAAAAGTCGCCTCGCTGTCTCACTGCTAAGCAAAGTGCAGTAATTGAGGTGAATAAACAATGCTAAACTTGTTTCAATGACCTTTGATTTTCTGTTCCTCAATGATGCCAGGTACTCACAAAACTTGGAATGACTTTTATTGTGTCTGATTTTTAGGTGATTTTGAATGAGTCTGTTTGTGTGGTGGAGTTCTCTACTTGTAAAGCTCTTGGAAGGGTGTCCCTAAGATCATTGGGAAGAACAATTGCTGTTGGAGTTGTGACAAGAATAATTGAAGAACAAGGTTAGAGTATGATATTCATCAAATAAGAAAAAAATGATGATAACAAGGCAACTTTGTTTGCCATCCTAGTCTAGATTAAGTTATACTCCCAGACAAGGGGCAGCTATATGTGAATTATGTAAGAATGGTGAAGATTTTTTGTATGTTTCTCACCATATATGTATATCATACACGAGCGTTTCTTTCCAAAAGATCTGGGCTTATGTACCATTACCATAGCAAACTAGTCGGACAAAGAGACAAAAAAAGTATGCGTCGGATGCAATTGCTTTTATTCTTTAATGCTACTCTTCAGCATAATCATTATATGTCTTGCTTAAATTTTGGTATTTTCCTTGGGAAAGCATTATTTTATTACCTTGATCTTTTGGTTTGGATGCACATTTATTAACTGTGCCCGAAGAAGAGAGTGAAAGGAAAATTAAGATCGATTGCATGTCGATAACCCTGATTTTTTTGGGAAGAGAAATACGATCACTTTCATCAAACTGAATCAGCATATCCACTATTGAGTTTGAATCACCTCATGATCTCCAAATATAGTCTCTGATGGTAGTCCTCCATGATCAGTATCAAATTTGGTGCTACCACCTTTTTTATCTCCCACAAACCAAGGTACCACCAACTAAGAGCAGCTGAAGTTTCTAGCACAGAGCTAATAAGGACAATGCGTGTAGAGATTCAAGATAAACACAACTTGTGAAATAGACATGTTCCGCATGATTGTTGGTAATGATGCCAAAGGCCATTGAGCAGTTTTTAAAGCATCAAACATTCATTTTCGATCATCTAAATTTGGTAGGGTTTATCTAAATATTAACAGTCATTATTATTTTTTATCTAAATATTTAAGGGTTTTATTATAAATTTGGAACATAAAATAATTTTAAAAGTGTAAGCAAAATTCAATTTTTTTATTAAATTTAAATGAATTTATAGGATGAGATTAAAGTATTTGTTTTCTGGGGAAATTTAACGTTTTAGTTGGTGCTTTTGGTAGAAGAATGTTTAAAATAGTTCAATTAATTCTATTTGTGAATATTGTGAATATTGTGAATATAAGATGGGAATATGGGGGTTTTAAGTAGAAGAAAATTTTCAATAAAATTAAATTTACTTAATTTTAAAAACAGAGAACGTTAATTGAATAAATAAAAACTAAAAGTCAATCACTCATACTAACGGAACTAAAAGTATAAGGCAAATCTTAATATGAGCCATGTCGTTGTACAATATTAGATAAAAATAAAAATATGTTGCGATTAATTTGTATATTTTTCTCTATATTTTTACGAGTTGTGATATACATATAAAAAAGTTATACAATATTATTTTTTACGTTAATTTTCTTCATTACAAAATTTATTGCATCTCTTTTCTCTCTCTCTCTCCTTGTATAAATAACATTCATCTTTTATAAAAACAATTTTTTTTAATATTTTGATTATATAACCTTTTCTTATATAACAATTTCTTCTTCTTTTTTTTTTTTAACAAATACATAAGCTAAGCAAGCATCTACAACAGAGGAGGGTCCGGTATTCAAATCTAATTGTACACTCAAAATAAATTAATTAAAGAAGTATGCTTAGACAATTTTTTTCTTGTGGTTTATAATCATGAGAATGAGGTTTGAATATAAGACTTCGCTTAAATCTCTTACTACTAAATTGATCTAATGAATATTTAAGATGACTAATTTATATATTTTTCTATCAATAAGATTTTATTAAAATAAATATTAAATTTAAACAATATGTGCAATGTACAAAGTTAATATAATTTTCTAAAACCAATGTATTCTTTAGTCGAAAGTTGAAGATTATCTTTAAAATATTGAAATCTATTTAAGAGATTGAAGTCTTTCAACAACTTTTTTTCATAGACATAAATAAATATTAAATTTTGATTACATGTTTAAGAAAAAAATTATTTTTCAATTATATCACATACTTTATTGGTGAGTTAATATAACAATAAGATGCCCGAATCAAAATTACTCTTGTGCCAATAATAAACAACTATTTTTTTTCACTAATTATTACCGCACCGTTAAAATTTAAAAACATTTGACCCAAGATTATTTTTATCTTGCTAGTCTAATTTAGCCTTTCCGGGCAATGACGAAAATGTTTTTTTTTCTACTCCATATTAATTTTTTTTAAACAATTCTATTTAAAATATGGTTAGATGGACAAATTTCTTAACAAGATTCGAACAATAATTAGTCTCGTTATAAAAGATTAATCTCATTTGCTGATACAAAACTCTTGTGGGTATGTTTTATGATGGAGATTAATTATTGAAAAATCTAATGGATATTCGTACCAACTCTGATTTATAATCATAGATTGCTTGACTTGTATCATGCATAAGGAGTAAATGACATGCAAGCTGCACGTGTAACCTTGTATTTCGAGTTACTTTACCAAGTTCTCAATCCACTTCTCTTTATACCTCGAAATCTAAATTTGGTCTCGAAGAAAAGACAGCCCATAATTAAGGCCATAACAAAGCCAGTTAAGCATCTATCGTGCAATTGCACCCTTCATTCCATTGATTATGAAATATGATTTCCTCAAATCAGGCAATTTTTTGGACATTCTCTGATAAGTTATGTACAATCCAAGATATATACAGTTACTATACACGCATATCACTAGTCAATTGTAATAAATACTCGAAGGTATATATTGTCCCCTTTAATACATTGAATTGATTTCATTAATTTTCTACACTGTTTCGCCTTTTTTCATTTTCGTATTCCTTCTGTTACTCATTCTTCTGGTTAGCCCAATTTTGAGCTTCATCATATAAAGAAAAGAAAGAAGAAAAAAAAGTCAGAAGTTTTTTTTTTTTTTTTTAAAATTCCAAAGATATCTTCTAGCCTATAATTCGAGATTAAATCTTTTTAAAATATAAAGATTATCCGACACATGATGAGGAATTGAATCCTAATAACATGTTTAAAAAAATCAGCTATCTATCATATGGGCTAAACCTTATTGGTAAGAAAATCAAGTTATTAAAGTTACAAAGTAAGTAGTTTCGGTAGCTGATGAAAAAATCAACCGATAATATTTTAATATATCTGTAATTTATTTTGCATGTATATGTAATATTGAGTATTGATTTTATCATCTAAAATTGATATTACTTTCTTTATATTCACTCCGCAGATTCATTAAAGCTAATAAATAAGCAATGACTTTAACAAAGACAACTGTTTTTAACATCCCTAATTCATAGCACCATAAGTGATCTTCCGGGGAACCTACTTAATTATTAGCTCAAATCATCTAATTGCCAGCTTATTTCCTTCTATTGCTTTCATCAGTGCATGAAAACGTGTTAGTGCACCAAAAGATCATCATGGTCTCTCTCACTTATATAAACTCCATATAGAGAAACTATCTTCTCACACTTCAAACCAGAAGAAATTAAAGCAAATATGGCAAAATATGAAACTTATCTTAGAGTTTTGTTAGCCTCACTCTTGATGTGTCTCTTAGGAGTCATTGCTGAGGGTGATTTCTATAAGGATATTGACATCACTTGGGGTGAACATAATGTAAAGATAATAGGAAGCAACTTTCTAGTGCTTTCTCTTGATCAGTCATCTGGCTCTGGCTTTAGATCCAAGGCAGAATATCTACATGGAAGAATAGACATGCAGCTTAAGCTTGTCTCTGGTAACTCAGCTGGCACAGTCACTGCGTATTATGTGAGAAATCATCTGATTCTGGCCTCGTACTAAACATGATTGTTTCTATATTTGATGCTGTTCATACATATATCATATGAAAAATTCTTGTGTGCACTAAACCAACCAAGATTAAATAATTAGAAAAATCTTGCGCCACAACATTCTTTGTATTTTAAGAAGTGATAGTGCATCAACTGTTGATTGGCTTAGGCAGATGAGTTTATGATACTGTATAACTTTTATGGTGCTTTTTGAATGAGCTTATATATGGTGGTGCAGTTATCTTCTGAAGGTCCTAATCATGATGAGATAGATTTTGAGTTCCTGGGAAACATCAGTGGAGAGCCCTACATAGTCCACACCAATATCTACACCCAAGGCGTAGGGAATAGAGAACAACAATTCTATCTTTGGTTTGACCCCACAAAAAATTTCCACACCTATACTATTGTGTGGAACCCTCATCGCATCATGTAAGAAACATAGAGCTTTCATTGTCCACTAACCTATATTTCCATTTCTCTCAAATTTAACTACGGACACCGTTTTTCTTTATGAAATATGTTTAGTAAAAGATAAATTTCATAGAAGAGTAAAATATGTTTTTAATCTCTCCAAATGTCTCAAAATTCAGTTTTAATTCCTATAAAGTTTTTAACCCTATATTTACCAAAAGTAAGTAGTTTTAATTTTTGAAGAGTCTAACACGTGTATCTATTAAAATGTAGAAACTAAAAATATGTTAAATTTTTTAGGGACTAAAGTCAAAGAACTATCTATGTTTCACATGTAATGAGTTTTTTTTATCCTTGAGGAACTATTTATATTCTATATGTAATGAATTTGTTTAAATATAAGTAAGAAGTACTTTTAAGAATTTCTCTATTGAAAAAAATTCCTTATTTTCTATAGAGAATCTTTTAACTTGTATTCAAACAAACTCAATATATAACTAGTCCATTGATCCTCCATGTTTCTACATTTTGGCTAGTTTCTTGGTAGATAACATCCCTATTAGAGTCTTCAACAACTATGAAGCCAGGGGAATTCCATTTGCTAGCAGCCAACCAATGAGGCTATACTCCAGTCTATGGTGTGCAGACCAATGGGCAACAAGAGGAGGGCTAGTGAAAACCAATTGGTCTTTCGCTCCTTTCAAAGCTTACTACAGGAACTTTGATGCCAAAGCTTGTGTGTGGTCCAAAGGATCATCCTCTTGTGCTACAAACTCAACTGCTATGGCTCATAATGCTTGGAAAACTCAAGAATTGGATGCTCATGACAGAAGAAATCTGAGATGGGTGCAAAAGTATTTCATGATTTATAACTATTGCAAAGATTACAAGCGATTTCCTCAAGGCCGGCCTCGTGAATGCAGGCTTTCTAGTTTCTCTTGAGTGCGGATTAAGTAAATTTAAAATTGATTTGATTTTTTTAATGTTTGTATTTAAAGATTCCACTCAAATACGGTTGAGTTTGAGTTCAATTTAATGTTACATTTGTTTGCTTGAATTGATAATTCTCTTTGTTTATTTTACCTATTCTGAACAACGTAAAATTATTAAAACGAAGTGCACTTTTCATTTTAAAGGTGTTCCAAACATACAATTCGATTTGCAAAACAGTTCAGTCCTACCTTTACAACAAGTCTCAAACATGATAATTAATTTTACATAAAACCAAATCCATTCCATTCCATACAAAATATTTTTATTTAGTGAAAATGTTTAGTAATTTAATGGACAACTTATATAACACCGCAAAGCTCAAACTCTCCATAGATATCCCATAGAAACAACCAAAAAGATGTGAAAATAAATCCTGTTTATAGTGGAACGCCTAAACCACAGTTTTGCAATTTCAATCCTTCACCTATTTCTGCATTTTCGAATAGAAAGAGTGATAATAATTTCTGCTTGCAAGAGGTTTAAAGAAGTAGAAACCACATTCTGATCATAATATAGGCCATGTGAGGCACAATGACCAGTTTAACATATAGCTGCAAGGATGGCACAAAATTAATTAGATGGGGGATTAGGTGCTTCTATTTAGCAAACCTACCACAGCATGTAAATTAGGAAAGTTCAAGCAGTCACTATATATAGCAAATTGATGTACAACAAATGATTGATCCAGACTACATCAAATAATGTACAAAAAATTCAATAATATATATTACATATAAATTGAACTACTAGGACCAATGGCTTCATTCCCTATTCCAAACTTAAGGTATAACTCCAATACCTTCAAGCGACAAAAAATCTTTCATGTGTTACGCTAGAGGATCGACTCCTTGTGCCAGGCACCACAAAGTTCCCCAAACCTAAAATTCATTAGTAATTGGACAAATTTTTAGAGATGAAACAAAATAACGAGCACATCAAAACAGTAATGTAAGGGAAAAGTAAATCAAGGCCACATTGGCTACAACTTTTTTTTTATATATAAAATAAAATTAATATAAAGAAGAAAGAAAAAAGGAAAATGCAGAAAAAAAATAGATAAGAAACCATCAAAAGCAAGAGAACAAAGCACATCAGGAGGAAAACACAACAAGAAGTGTAATAAAATACATCAGAACTGCCCAACGTCAACATATGTACCCTAAAAATACATATGATATTGTTATATAAACTAAAGAATATTTGAGTATGATTAACAAAAAATGCTAATATATATTAAATCTTTTATGTTAATAATTAAATAGACTAAAGAATCAATTGTAAGTACAACAGCAAATGTGAAATAACTTGTATTGTTTTTTAGCACATAATATAATTGAGCTTAATTTAACTTTTTTCAGATTGAATTTATTTGTTATTTCCTCCAATAAATTTTAAAAGCATGTAACCAGCTATGTACAGAACTGCTTCCTTATTTTCACATATTAAAACTGTTATTCATTTTCCTTAGAATAAAATTTAGTAACATTTTTATCAACATCCAATAATTATTTTGGTACAAGTGTAGGCACCAAGAGTCCACGGCTAAGGAAATCTAGAAAAGAAAACTTCAACGGGTAAATTATGCAAAGGCAAGAGAAAACCTCTAAGAAAAAACATTTCAAACCCAAACATCCTCCAAAAATCTGAAGTTAGGATCACCCAACAACAACAATAGTAGCCTTATCCTTAGGGATATTATTCAAGTGAGAAACACCAACATGTAGAAAATTACTGCTCTACATTTGATAGATAAAAAAAGTTGTTTATGTTTATGGCATATTCAAAGCAAGTAATTTCTACTTTTGAATGTACCATACATGTGACCATTCTTTGCTGCATTCCACCTAAGACTTCAAATATCCAATACTTTAGGCGTAAAATGCATATATACACATATTGACCAAAACATATAATAAATGCTTCGGGGAGGAAGGTGGAGTACAGTTATCGATAGCAACCACAGACCCAAAAATTGTCGTAGCCAGGGAAGGGGCACACACCAAAGCAGAGCTCTCCTCCCAGAACAGTCTACTTAAGGTTTTCAATCCTATTTCACATGACCCATCCTCCATTTTCACATTATCCAATTTGGTTCACACTCGCACAGGGTTTTGTGTTCAATTATACGTGTATTACCAGTTTGTAATGTTTTCATATTGTATCCTCTAATTTTGGTGCATGTTAGCTACAATCAGAAACCATTCAACCATGCAAGACGTCATGCTGCTCTTTGCATTATTTCCATTTTCCAAATAACTCCCAACCAAAAAGGACCAGGAAAAAAACAATTTATTGTTAATGAATACTAATTTTCATTTTTTCCCTAAAAAATGTTTTCTTGTACCACTTTGATACATTGATAGTTTATTGACCTTCCATCTCCTAGTGCGCTAGATAGACTGATCCCCAGTTAACTCTAGACATGATCTGTCTAACACACATTTTTAAATAGTATTATTGACATAATGAGCAAGATTTGGTGTATATGAAACTATGCAAGTATTTCAACTTTTGACCAACTGAATGTATTAGCATAGATTCATGGGTAGAAATCAGCTTATGCTTGGTCATATTGTGTATTTACCATTAGACAACTGCCCCCAACAAGCTTGTTGTTTACAAGAGATAACAGCATCAGTACACATGGGTAAAATTCCAATCCCCCTACAAAACTTTCCCCAACTACCCATATTCACATATATATTGAACTAAGCAGTATACAATTTACCAGTTAGAGAAAACGAATGGAAAAAATTTGGATTCATGAACAAAGAATTTGTTTTAGTAGGCTCTACAACTCCTTGCATCACCCATCCACCATGTATGCTTGCAATACAAAGTAGCATTTTTACCTCTGCTCCAATAAGCTATCTCATAGACAAATATCCCATCAATATCCACAAGCATATAAATTCTCACAAAGACAACATAAAGAAATAATCACTACCATATATTAACCAACAAGGGATGGATGCTGCACACACGACAAGCTTTATTAATCAAGCACAACATTATATAATCAAAATTTTCTTCACCACCTTCCATCCATTAAGTAGCAGAGGTAAATAATACTTATCGATCTTTTTTCTAACACATCCATACATGTATATCTCTTACATCACTTTACTAATCAAAGAAAGAGCCTAGGAATAAACTAGATCAAATCCCTGGACAAAAATCTGTATGCTCTAGCACCGAGAAAAACTACATAAAGATACCCCAGACGAGAACTACTAGCATATTGAAAATGGAACGGAAACCCACATCAAAAATGATGGTAATGAACCCAATGGGGCACACTGAAAGGAGATACTGCTTACTCAGGTACATGTCAAGTTCAGAACAAAAGAAGAGGCTTTATAGTTTATATCAAAACTAAAAGGAAAAAACACAACAAAAAAAAAAAAAGATAAGTATTTTAACCATCAAAACTAAAACCCTATGAGAGTAGAATATGAGAGAGAAGAAGGAGGAGAAAAAATGTACCTTTAGAACAGAAAGCATGAGTTGAGGAGGTGGGTATGGAAAATGCCATGGCAAGAGTGAGCATTGGGTGTAGAAAGCAGAGATAAGAGAATGAAGAAACTTGAGGGAGGCTTTATAATGGAGAGAGTGAGTGAGAGAGGTTCTTTCTTTTTCGTATTCCGAGGTAAGGTGTTCTGTTTGAAAATGAAAAGCCCCACCCTTCGTTGTATTGTGTTGTGTTGTGTGCTGTGCACCATTGTCTTTTTCTTGGGTGCTCAGGCTAAATGGTTTCAGGACAAATACAACTTTTTTAATTAAAAAAATTAAATTATACTTCTTTTCTTTTGTACTGTTTTTAAATGAATTTGTTTTTAATATTCGATTTAGCCTTTTATTCTTTAAAGTGTTTATTTTAGTTATTTATTTTCATCACTTATCTCATAAATTTGATTTGATTTGTTCCTTATGAAGCAATGCTTATTTGTATTGAGATATAATTTTGAATTATATTTTTTTAGTGATTCAAGACTTATAAATGATTATTATTTTGAAAATAATTAAATTAATTTAAATATAAAAGATAAATAATTAAAATAAACATTTTAACATATAAAAGATTAAAAAATATATTTTAACATAAAAAAGCTTAATATTAAAAAAAAAATGAATGACCAAAACAAATCTTAAAAAATAAGATAAAAAAAACCCTAAGCGTGTGGTTCAGCGGTAGGGGTTGATCCACGCTTAAGCAAGGTCAGGGTTCGAATCATGCCTTGTGTATGCAGCCGCGTTAAATCTTGGGGCCAGCTATCACACCCTTTGAGGTGCCTCCAACGTAGCGAGGAGATTAGTCACTGCGGTGAATACTCCAGGGACGAACAAAAAAATAATAATAATAATAAGATAAAAAACTAAAAATTTAATTCACTTCTAACCCCCAACATCCAGTTGGTTCAAGTCTCTTGAGTAAGAAAGTTTTAAGTTTGAATTTTTGACAAAGTTAATCATCAAAAAAGTATCACTCACTGAATTTATGACTAATTTTTATTGGAAAATTTAGTTAATCATCTTAAATTGAATTTTTTTCTTCTCAACCTCTTTCTTTTTTCATCCATAATACTCGGACTTGAGATTTTAATTAAGAGATCTAAATTCAACTTCTCTTGAATCAATCAAAACAAATTTAAGAAAATGGAATTTTTTTTGTTTTAATTTTGAGATATATATACATATATGTGTGTATATATATATATATATATATATATATGTTTTTTTTTAAATGTTTATATACAAAATAAATATAAAATATAAATGATTATATATGAGAGTAAATGTGAGGGGAATGCATATCTAAAATGATTGTCTAAAAAATATATGATTCTTAAATTATTACTCTACTAGAAGAGGTGCATATGGTTTGATTGTGTCTCAAACATGAGTGTCACTTTTTTTTTTTTTTTTTTTTTTTATAGAACACATGTATCTTTTGCTAGAATCAATCTCATTTGAGGTGGGTAAATGAGATGGGTAAGACATTATGGTTGGTAAAGTTCTCATTTCAAGTATTTAATGTACATACTCATGACTTGAACTCAAGATTATTAGTTAAGTTAAAACAATCATGTACTAGTTGATAAATGTGTTCATTGATAATCATTTATTTTAATTTTACATATTTATTATTTTGAACTAATAATTTTTTTTAGTGAAAGTAACATTATTTATAATATCACCACTTTCAATAGTTACATACAATTTTGTATAACATAGAAAATAGATAACTTGTAATGTGTACTTGTAGGATTAACCAAATACAATTTCACTTAATCTCTTTATTCTTAGACTCATTACAAACATGTTCTTATTGGCTTTCAATTAAAGTACATTAATTTGAACTAATTATAGCTTGTTTTTATTGGTTTTTATAATTACCTTAAAACTGAATTCAAAATTTTAAACAAAACAAATCTACATGTTTTTAAAAAATTTTGGAACTACAAGCTTGGCCTAAGTTTATTTTAACTTAATTAAATAATAAAGTCATTGGTATGTTGTTGCGGTTTAAGGGAAAATTTTGTCACTCGATCCTACTCAATTTGATGAAGATTGTGTCGAGTAGAAGATATATGTGGCTGGATCACAAGTTTTGTTGAGCGATTTGTCTTATTTCCGCTCCTACTTCCCATCCAGGTGTTACGGTGAGCAATCCTAACTTCAAAAAAAAAGGAGTAATAGATCAGGAAACAAATCCAAAATATGATTAATTTTTTTAATGATACCGTAATTGGATGCAAAATATTGTCTTAAAAGAAATTGAGTTATAGGACTCAAGAACCCAAATGAATTATAGCAAGTATTAGTAATAAGCACTGGAGCAACTTTACCCTCCTTAAATGAACCCATGCCAATCAACTCGATTTAGTCAAAATCCAATATAATCCCGGATACTGAGGGTTTAAGGAATAATCTGATGGAATACCCAATAAATAAATTATACACCTCTTTTTATATACCCTTTACGATTATTAAAACTCCAACATGACTTTTTCAAAAGAAAAAAAGAATAAATAAATAAATAAATAAAGCTTAGCAAAATTTTATTTTAATATGAAACAAACTAGTAATTAAGCATATTCGATACTAAAAGACCGAAAAAAAACCGCCATTAAAGTAAAGTGTACTCTATAACCAAGTATAAAACTTGCCATCATTCTGAAGAAAGAAAAAAAGAAAACTATCGAATAATTGAAGGGGCATAGGTGGCTTGACACTAGGATCAAAGGGTTCCCAAAAGAAGATGTTCTCACTTTTGGGTGATACATGGCCCAATCCATTATTCCTGTCTTGCGGATCACGATCCTCAGTTACTAGATAATCAGACATTTCTTTCCATTGGACCTAAAGGGTTTACCTTGGGATTGTACAAATTCGAATCTTATCATCCTTCATTCTTCCAATATGTACCACCACAAACATGAAATGATCATCAACAAAGACACATCTATTCCAATCAATCAATTACAATACAAAGACAAAAGTAAACCCGTGTCTGTGGCCGAAAAGTAAAAAAGAAAAAAGAAAAGTGAAAAAACTGTTTGCAAAGCTAGTGTCACCCTTGAGAGAGGATCTACCACATGTATATTACCCCACAGCTTGACACCTTTTTTTTTCTCTTCATTTTGAGGTAACACTTCCATCAATTCCACCATCCTCTCCACCCCTTTTGCTTATCCTCTTTGAACAATGCAGTGGAAAACCAAATAGCACAGGATGAGTAGAAACTAGTAAACTTCACCAGACAAATTGCTAGAGGGGATTCTTTGTCGTTTCTCCACATATGCAGAAGGAAACCATCCTGCTTTACCATTGCATTCTCCTTCTGACCATCCTGAGGGGCTCACCTGGGTAAGCATTTAGAACTTTGGTAAACATGGAGGCTCAACAAGATTGAGAGATTAAACCGAGTTAATCAAGCGAATTTCATGGTGACAATGATAGAAGCAACAATTGATGACTTGATACAAACCTTTCGGACAACAACAAAATCACCCTTTGAAAAGCTCAGTTCCTTTTCTGATTCAGCACCGAAGGGATGAATTGCCTGCAAGAGATGCACCAAGGATCAGTTGATGAAGAAATAATGATAATAGATAGTATCAGTAATCATAATCTTAGTAATCGAGAGAAAGATTAGGTTTAGGAATATCTAGCATACTTCAGCCAAGAAGTACATTGTTTTCTCCGAGCCATTCTCAGAAATAACTATTGGAGGGGCAGATTCTTTCTTCTGTCTATCTGAGACCATCTGAGAAGTTCCAATGAGAAGAAAAGTTATTCATATTAAGAAAATGAAGACAATTCAAAGAAACAAACACTAGAAGGAAAATTTTCAGGATGGTTGGTTTTCACCTCAGCTTCAATTTCACCAAGAATAGCTGCAACTCTTAAATGAAAAGTCTTTTCTCCTTCCACCTATAAAATTAGAAGCACAATTTTTAAAATAACATTATAAAACGATATCAAGTTTGGCATAAAGTCATATGATGACAATCACTGTGTTATAATACCATGGCAACAAGCCTTTGGAAAGTAAGTCTCTGCTGTTGTGCTTCAACAGCAGCCAATGCAGCTGCAGCTTCTTTACCTAGAACCACCATGTTTGCTTTCAGCTCCTGCATCTTTGCTTCTGCAGCGTGCAGTTTGGCAACATGTTCAGCAGTTGGAGATTCCCGTACCCGTATTTGTCTTCTAGAAATTTCCTCTCTCTGATTTAATTTTAAAACCAATTTGAGTTGTAATATTATGTAGAAATAAGAACACCAAACTCTGAAGCGAATGTTATAGATAAGAACCATCATTTATAAAGCACATAGTATTAGAATAGGTTAGGTAAGCCCAATGGGTTGGTTCCTGTTCTGTTCTGTCAGTTTAGGGAGTTAGAGTTAGTGACTGTTAGTTACCATGACAGAGATAGGGAGAGAAGACTCAGGTTATAGAACTTTAGTGATAGATCCTGGAGGACAAATCCAAGGCTCTTAAAATCCTGACTGGAACAGTTATAGTCATTCTTTCTCTTACTAAACAGGGTTCATCCCTGATCCCATCCTATTTTCTATATCATTTCTCTAATTTCTGAACCAGTACCTAACAGAATATCACGATAAGAACCTTGGGAGAACCCCAGAAAATCTAGCTATTGTAGTTGGAGAGCCCAAGGCCTTATAAATTCCACACTAAAATCCCATACTTCCAATGTGGGACTCAAGTTCCATACCTTGCAATGGGATCCTAACATATCATGATTCTTATTATTTTGGGAGTCTGATCAGGTTAGGAGTGTCACTGAACTCATACTAGTATATACAAGTACCTGACCCTAGAATATTAGTAAAACACTAAAACAGGGGGGTTAGATGTTTTTTTTACAGCATTGGAAAATATAAATAGGAGTATTAGGTTACGCTTGTGTATCTCACATCAACATATCTGGTTTAACTACATATATATGAAAATGGTAATCTTCCATTCATTGGAAAATATGACAGAGAAATGACAATCTGTGACATCATGGACTTGAAAGGAAAATGGAAAAGGCAAAGTAGAATATCTCTCAGCTCCCAAAGCTGTAAGCCCAAACCGATGACTGATAGATTCCCAAAATGCAGACTCCCCCTCTCCTCCTCAACAACCTCTCATAAAAACCATTTCTGACACCACTAACCTCCGCTCAATATAACAACCTCCTCTCATATTTGATTCCTAGGTGTCTTGTCTTTCCTTCTTGAATAAATTCTCTATATTTTTAGTCCATGGTTTAATTGATCCAGTCCAGAACCTGGCCTATATTTTCTTTGGGCTCACCTTCACAAGCTCTATCAAGTATCAACATCATTATCGCGTAATAACTATTTGGAGCCTTTCTTTAAATATAATTTCTACACATATTGTTTCTGTGTTTCTAGTTTATCATGCCTCAAACATACACAAATCCAAAACTTCACTGCCCATTCCATTTCATGTATGAAATACAGAGTTATAATCACGATTAAATTACAAATTTTTCCAAGAGCAGAGATTGCTAATCCATTCAAAATTTTGACTTACCTGTGCCTCTGCTTCTTGTCTCATTCGACTATAACGTTGAGCAAGATGACGAGCATCCTCCAAAGGCGCACCATTGATCATTTGTCTCAAAGGATCCAATACCTGGAAAATGAAACCATTCTATTGACGTTTCTCCCCTATATATTTAAAGATAAAGTGAATAATAAATTACATTGACCTTAAGGATTCCAAATGTCACATACATCCCTATGTAGTATCAAAACATAAATAAATGTTCCTTATATTGGATTTTCACCTGTTCTGAAGAATGTCAAGAGTGGCATGTTTGATAAAAATTAAAAATAGGGGGCTATGTGTGTTTTGAAAGTAGGAGGTCAATGAAATATTCATAACCTTAAGAAATATGAATACAATTTACTCTAAGATAAAATCTTTCTGTATAAGCAAATTGGCAATTCTATCTCCCAAACTAGCTCCTAGCATGATCAATTTGATACTCAGATAAACTGAAAAGAAAGCTAAAATAGCAATATGGAAATTTCAAACTCCTCTGTAGCTTATTGAAAAGATTCTATTGCTGATTCATGTTTTAAACAACTATTTAGGAAGCTAACCATTTACTTGACAATCAGCAAACAAAATTTGGTCATTTTGGGACTTCATCTTGCTTTTTTCCAGTAGAAACTTCAATATGATTACTGTACTTTGAAAAACAGTATGACAGTGATTGCCTATGAAAACTACCCTATAATTTGTAGTATAGTACAGGAAATATCAACTGAGAATATTTAAATAAATCATTCTATATCTGGAAAATAGAGTTTTTTGAAATTACAATTTCAACTTTTCAAGACTGGAGTAAAAAACTGACTAGCATTAAAATGTGTAACACCCACAGCAAGGAATACTCTTATAAATTAAGATGTGGCTAGGAGATAAAACTAATAGATTCTCATTTTGAACTTGCATTAAAACTTATACACCTGAACAACATATGAAAAGTCAACCTGGAAAGATAAAAGCTGATTTAATTCTTCATGCTCCTTTTCTACATGCTTGCGGGCATCACCATATACTGAAGCAGCCTTAGCCAATATGTTGTCACTGTTGTTCTCTGCTCCATATTTACAGCAATCCTCAGAAAGTTTTGTTCCTGTCTACCATGGGTATTGCTTATGAGGATCTAATCAAACCATAAGTCGATAAACAAAACTTCCAGGTGCTTCTAATTTCAGAACAAGTGCTATTATGACTTGCTACATTTGCAGGAAAAAAAAAACAAAAACTAATTTTCACCTGTTTCAATATGCTTATAACCTATAGCTGTAAATGTTTCTGCTGCTTTGACAATTTCTTTCTGGAAGTCCTGGATCAGAAGATAGTCTTATGCACATCAATAAACAGAACCAACACAAAAATACTAGTAGTTGAAGATAAAAAAAAAATTGCCCACAACTACTACAATTGTGGTTCAAAAAGGCTGCACAGTCATGTTTAACCCCAGCTCCAGGTTAATCTACATGTTCCCTTCATCTCACTACCTCACTCAATGTAAAGCAGGTTAATAGACTTCCCATAGCTAACATGTATTCCAAGAGATACAAGATCAGGTGTAGGATATCAATGTTTGGGGGTAATGAGAACAGCAACAAGAAAATCATTCTGGACCCTTCCCCCCAGTTTCCAAAACCCCTTTACAGACTGCCAGATTCAAGCTTGAAACAAAATAGATTTAGACATTGTTACAAAACAAAAATAGTAAAAACATGTGCAAGTCGATTAATCTGACAATCACAATAATGTTACTCACCATGCATTAATATCGAATAGACTTCCCTAATATGCATATAACATACTATTTTGAGTTAATTAAGTAGAAAACTAGGAAATTTTTTTGCTGCTCAAACATAGCAAAGCTAGATTAAGAGAAAATGCACACCTTCCCTGCACGTGTGGCCCTGTACAGCTTTTCCAGCTGTTGATGTCTCTGCATTTCGACCTCATCAATGACCACAACATCTGAACTCTCATAACCACTACTACTGAACTGCTTTATTACAGCCTGACAAACGAGTACACTGACATAGATCACAAACTGGAACATAGTATTACCCTTGTGTAACAGTAAAAAAGTGAATCAAAACTAGTAAAACAATATAGTTGGTTGATCCAAGAGAATGTGCCAAACAAAACCAGAAAAATAATAATTCAAAACCTTAATTAAGAAAATGAGCATCTAGCTGAACCTAAACTTTACTCAGAAAGGCATTAGTCAAACTCAAACAACCTCATTTTCAATTGCATTTCAGAACAACGAAAGACGAACTAAAACGTCAAAACTGATTGCGAAATTCTGAAAATTCGGGCTACCCAGATGCGAATTTTAGGAGAATATTAAGGCAGTTGGAGTGACAAGGGAGAAAAAGAGGAACTTGAAGGGAAGCGAAACGAAACCTGTTGTTGTTTGGCAACTTGCTCTCTGAACTTGGTAGCTTGTTTCCTCAAAGCGTCCATGAATTCTGAACTCTCAAATACAATAAAATCAAACAAACAAAATAAGAAATGAGATCCAACGTTATCTGAGAAATACAGCTAAAAGTTGTCAACTTGAATCATGTCACTCTTTTCTTTCTCCCCTTTCGTTTTTTTTTTTAAGCACGTTACGTACAAAAATGCTCCACACAACCATATGTATAAGTTTTATTATTTTTATTATTAAAGTAAAAGTTTTCTTTTTTTATTATTATTGTCAATTTTGATAAGTTTCTTTATAGATAAAATAGTGTTTTTTCGTAATTATGATGATTTTTATGACCACTAAAATTAAGAAATAAAAATAAATAAATTGAATCTTAAAAAGATAAAATATTAAATTAAAATACTAAAAGACCAAACTATTACTTTGTTTAAAAACTAAAAATAATAAAAATTACTAGACTACGGTATTAATTTAGCTTTTCTTCTATTATTAGTGGAGTTATTAAAGAGTATTAAAGCTTTTTTTTTAAATTAATGTATCTCTAACTTGAAAGTTAAGGATTAATTTTTTGAGATAATTAGATTTATTATTTTGTTAAACATTTTGTTTTTTTTTGTAATTTAGGTGTTTTTATTTTTACTATTATATAATATTTTTTAATTTTAAATTATAAATGTTTTTTATTTTAAAATTTTCTTTTACACTAATATTTTATATTTTTTCTTCAACTTCAGCTTCGATTATATTTATATTTAGACTTTAAAAGTTAAAAAAAAAAAAAAAAA